GTGCCGTCGTAAAGTGTACGCATACCGTCGTAAAGTGTACGTATACCGTCGTAAAGTGTACGCATACCGTCGTAAAGTGTACGGATACCGTCGTAAAGTGCACGTGTACCGTCGTAAAGTGAACGTGTACCGCTTTGTGGTGTACGTGTACCGTCGTAAAGTGTACGTGTACCGCTGTGTGTTGTATGTGTACCGTCGTGGGGTGTTGTGTACCGTAGTGAGGTGTATGTGCACCGTGGTTTATTGTATGGGTTTCGTCGAGTGGTGTTGTGTACCATCATGTATTGTATGTGTACCGGCGTGTGGTGTTGAGTAACGTCGTGTGTTGTAAGTGAACCATCGTGTGTGTATGTGCACCGTGGTTTATTGTATGGGTTTCGTCGAGTGGTGTTGTGTACTGTCGTGTTGTGTATGCGTACCGTTGTTTGTTGTATGTGTACCGTGGTTTGGTGTATGTGTACCGTTGTGTGGTGTAAATGAACCATCGTGTATTGTATTTGTACCGTCGTGTGGTCTTGTGTACCATCGTGTGTTGAATGTGTATCCTCGTGAGGTGTATGTGCACCGTGGTTTGTTGTATGGGTTCGTCGAGTGGTGTTGTGTACTATCGTGTATTGAATGTGTACCGTCGTGTGTTGTAAGTGTACCGTCGTGTGGTGTTGAGTAACGTCGTGTGTTGTAAGTGTACCGTCGTGTGGTCTTGTGTACCATCGTGTGGTGTTGTGTGCCGTCGTGTGGTGCATGGATACCGTCGTGCGGTGTTGTGTAACATCTTGCATTGTATGTGTAACGTTGTGTGGTGTTGTATACCGTCGTGTGTTGTAAGTGTACCGTCGTGTGGGGGTGTGTACCGTCGTGTTGTGCATGGATACCGTCGTGTGGTGTTGTATTCCATCGTGTATTGTATGTGTAACGTCGTGTGGTGTTGTATTCCATCGTGTATTGTATGTGTACCGTCGCGTGGTGTTGTATATCGTCGTGTGTTGAATGTGTAACGTCGTGTGGTGTTGGGTACCATCATGTATTGTATGTGTACTGTCGTGTTGTGTATGCGTACCGTTGTTTGTTGTATGTGTACCGTCGTGTTGTGCATGGATACCGTCGTGTGGTGTAAATAAACCATCGTGTATTGTATTTGTACCGTCGTGTGGTGCTGTGTACCGTCGTGTGGTGTAAATAAACCATCGTTGTACGCATACCTTCGTAAAGTGTACGGATGCCGTCGTAAAGTGTGCGCATACCGTCGTAAAGTGTACGCATACCGTCGTAAAGTGTACGTATACCGTCGTAAAGTGTACGTATACCGTCGTTAAGTGTACGTGTACCGTCGTAAGGTGTACGTGTACCGCTGTGTGTTGTATGTGTACCGTCGTAAAGTGTACGTGTACCGTTGTGTTTTGTATTTATACCGTCTTGTGGTGTATGTGTACCGTCGTGTGGTGTTGTGAACCATCGTATGGTGTTGTATTCCGTCGTGAGGTATTGTGTACCGTCGTGTGGTGCATGGATACCGTCGTGCGGTGTGTGTGTACCGTCGTGTGGTGCATGGATACCGTCGTGTGGTGTGTGTGTACCGTCGTGTGTTTGTGTGTTCTGTGGTGTGTTGAATGTGTATCCTCGTGAGGTGTATGTGCACCGTGGTTTGTTGTATGGGTTCGTCGAGTGGTGTTGTGTACCGTCGTGAGGTGTATGTGCACCGTGGTTTATTGTATGGGTTTCGTCGAGTGGTGTTGTGTACTGTCGTGTTGTGTATGCGTACCGTTGTTTGTTGTATGTGTACCGTGGTTTGGTGTATGTGTACCGTCGTGTGTTGAATGTGTACCGTCGTGTGTTGTTAATGTATCATCGTGTATTGTATGTGTACCGTCGTGTGGTGTTGTATTCCATCGTGTATTGTATGTGTACTGTCGTGTGGTGTTGTATACCGTCGTGTGTTGAATGTGTACCGTCGTGTGGTGTTGTGTACCGTCGTGTGGTGTATGTGTACCGTCGTGTGGTGTTGTATACCGTCGTGTGTTGAATGTGTACCGTCGTGTGGTGTAGTATACCGTCGTGTGGTGTTGTGTACCGTCGTGTGGTGTAAATAAACCATCGTGTATTGTATGTGTTCCGTTGTTTGTTGTATGTGTAACGTGGTTTGGTGTATGTGTACCGTCGTGTGGTGCATGTGTACCGTCGTGTCTTGTAAGTGAACCATCTTGTGTTGTAAATGTACCATCGTGTGGTGTTGTGTACCATCGTGTGTTGAATGTGTACCGTCGTGTGTTGTAAATGTATCATCGTGTATTGTATGTGTACCGTCGTGTGGTGTTGTGTACCATCGTGTATTGTATGTGTATCGTCGTGTGGTGTTGTATACCGTCGTGTGTTGAATGTGTACCGTCGTGTGGTGTTGTGTACCGTCGTGTGGTGTATGTGTACCGTTGTGTGGTGTAAATGAACCATCGTGTGTTGAATGTGTACCGTCGTGTGGTGAATGTGTACCGTCGTGTGGTGTTGTGTACCGTCGTGTGGTGTTGTGTACCGTCATGTGGTGTATGTGTACCGTCGCGTGGTGTTGTATATCGTCGTGTGTTGAATGTGTACCGTCGTGTGGTGTAGTATACCGTCGTGTGGGGTTGTGTACCGTCGTGTGGTGTTGTGTACCGTCGTGTGGTGTATGTGTACCGTTGTGTGGTGTAAATGAACCATCGTGTGTTGAATGTGTACCGTCGTGTGGTGAATGTGTACCGTCGTGTGGTGTTGTGTACCGTCGTGTGCTGTAAGTGAACCATCGTGTGTTGTAAATGTACCATTGTGTATTGTATGTGTACCGTCTTGTGGTGTTGTATTCCATCGTGTATTGTATGTGTACCGTCGTGTGGTGTTGTATACCGTCGTGTGTTGAATGTGTACCGTCGTGTGGTGTTGTATACCGTCGTGTGGTGTTGTGTACCGTCGTGTGTTGTAAGTGTACCGTCGTGTGGTGTATGTGTACCGTCGTGTGGTGTTGTATACCGTCGTGTGTTGAATGTGTACCGTCGTGTGTTAAAAGTGTACCGTCGTGTGGTGTATGTGTACCGTCGTGTGGTGTTGTGTACCGTCGTGTGTTGAATGTGTACCGTCGTTTGTTGTTGTGTACCGTCGTGTGTTGTAAGTGTACCATCGTGTGGTGTTGTGTACCGTCATGTGGTGTAAATGAACCATCGTGTAGTGTAAATGTACCATCGTGTAGTGTATGTGTACCGTCGTGTGGTGTTGTATATCGTCGTGTGTTGAATGTGTACCGTCGTGTGGTGTTGTGTACCGTCGTGTGTTGTAAATGTACCATCGTGTGTGATAAATGTACCATCGTGTATTGTATGTGTACCGTCGTGTGGTGTTGTGTACTATCGTGTATTGAATGTGTACCGTCGTGTGGTGTATGTGTACCGTCGTGTGGTGTAAATGAACCATCGTGTATTGTATGTGTATCGTCGTGTGGTGTTGTATACCGTCGTGTGTTGAATGTGTACCGTTGTGTGGTGTTGTGTACCGTCGTGTGTTGTAAGTGTACCATCGTGTGTTGTAAATGTACCATCGTGTATTGTATGTGTACCGTCGTGTGGTGTTGTGTACCATCGTGTATTGTATGTGTACCGTCGTGTTGTGTTGTATACCGTCGTGTGTTGAATGTGTACCGTCGTGTGGTGTTGTGTACCATCATGTATTGTATGTGTAACGTCGTGTGGTGTTGTATACCGTCGTGTGTTGAATGTGTACCGTCGTGTGGTGTATGTGTACCATCGTGTGGTGTTGTATACCGTCATGTGTTGAATGTGTACCGTCGTGTGGTGTATGTGTACCGTCGTGTGGTGTATGTGTACCATCGTGTGGTGTTGTATACCGTCGTGTATTGTATGTGTACCGTTGTGTGGTGTTGTATACCGTTGTGGTGTTTTATACCGTTGTGGTGTTGTAAGTGTACCATCGTGTGTTGTAAATGTACCATCGTGTATTGTATGTGTACCGTCGTGTGGTGTTGTGCACAGTCGTGTGTTGTAAGTGTACCATCGTGTGTTGTAAATATACCATCGTGTATTGTATGTGTACCGTCGTGTGGTGTTGTATACCGTCGTGTGTTGAATGTGTACCGTCGTGTGGTGTTGTGTACCGTCGTGTGGTGTATGTGTATCGTCGTGTGGTGTATGTGTTTATCGTTGTGTTGTGTAAATGAACCATCGTGTGTTGTATGTGTACCGTCGTATGTTGAATGTGTACCGTCGTGTGGTGTTGTGTACCGTCGTGTGGTGTAAATGAACCATCGTGTATTGTATGTGTACCGTCGTGTGGTGTTGAGTAACGTCGTGTGTTGTAAATGTACCATCTTGTGTTGTAAATGTACCATCGTGTATTGTATGTGTACCGTCGTGTGGTGATATGAACCGTCGTGTGGTGTTGTGTACAGTCTTGTGGTGTTTGTGTACCGTCGTGTGGTGTATGTGTACCATCGTGTGGTGTATGTGTACCGGCGTGTGGTGTTTGTGTACCGTCGAGTGGTGTATGTGTACCGTTGTTTGTCGTATGGGTTCCGTCGAGTGGTGTTGTGTACCGTCGTGTGGTGTTGTGTACAGTCTTGTGGTGTTTGTGTACCGTCGTGTGGTGTATGTGTACCATCGTGTGGTGTGTGTGGTGTAAATAAACCATCGTGTATTGTATGTGTACCGTCGTGTGGTGATATGAACCGTCGTGTGGTGTTGTGTACAGTCTTGTGGTGTTTGTGTACCGTCGTGTGGTGTTTGTGTTTTTTGTATGTGTTCAAAACTGGTTTAAATATATACGTGTGTTTATGTATGTGATACTGCGTGTATGCACACGTGTGTAACATCCCGCCAATGATCGTAATGCGGAAACACAATCATGATATGCTAGGGTTTATAGAAAGAGAAGGACTGTATAAGCACATCAGATTTTCACGACATTTCTTCCCATAGGCTAAATATAACGAGTCATTTCCTGGCCAGTTTCCGTTGAACAACAGAGTTTAGCTGTATGTATATTATAACGTTATAACATAGGGCTTAATTGTCAATCTACAATGTGATTTAGGTGCAATGCGTAAACAAAATATCAACATGTGCCTGTTAGCGCGTTTATTCTTTTGATTGATTCTGATATTGTGAGCAGGAACCTTCAGGTGACACGAGGAGACCTCACCTCTTGTGTAGACTTCAGTGTCACACACCATTCCAACTACAGCCATCAAACAATTGACTGTTCCGTGTTTTTCTGCTTTCAGAGAATCTGCAGAGACAAACATTCATCACACAAGCTGTTTAGCAAGAGAGGACGATTAGAATAGATCAAATAGTAACACATTAGCACTGTAGCCGGCGCAGAAAGCTAAGCCGACATCCATAGACGCACGAGGATCGATTACTCCCGGTATTGACGAGAGGGAGTTTCAAAGGGGCGTGGCCACACCGTATGTCACAAAAACGGGCAGTGTGTAAACCAAGCACGGGCACCAGTCTATGGTAGTCGGTAGAGACGTACACAACATCGATCTGAGTCGCGGTGTGTGTATCTGAACCAGCGTTGTTTGTTTATTTACTCGCCAACCACCCATGGTCGAGGTAGTACTGTTAAACTCACCTGTAACTGTTGATACGCTTCATTGGACATGATAACTGTCATCTCATTGGCTACATGTGATTAAAACGTGTCTCCCTGGCAACCATCACGCGTATTAACATAAGACAACAAAATCCGTCCGTTGCATTAAGTGCTTGGCAAGGTGTAGTAACACCAGGCGGGTCTACACACCGGGAGTAAGGTGGAGGAGAGAGTACGGGAAGGAAATCTCTTTTGGTGAGATTTGGTTTGGTCTTAGTTGTATTTCCTTTATTGAAGCATTGGCGAACGGCTGCTAGCACAGAGGGGACTAGCAGACACGAGAGAACGGCGCGTATTGATCAGCTCCGAGAAATGCTGTTGTTCACTTAGATGACAGTGGTGCTGGTGTACGTCTGATCACCAACTACTGGCCAGATAGTGTCGATTTAAATTGGAAAACAAGACACACACGTCGCACAACAATCAGGACAGCAACCAGGAGGTTATGACAGTACTTACTGTGTCGGCCAGTACGTGAATACTCCACTTTTAGACCACCCTGTAGCATGGCTTTGTAATCTTGCCTGAATACGGACCCAATCATAAACAATGTCGGAAAATGTTGGTAACGCCGAAGTTGAAGATTTCCCAGATATTGTGGAATTGAACGTTGGTGGGGTATTCTATACGTCAACATTGAGGACTCTGAAACAGGAGTCCGAGTCTTTGTTAGGACAGACGTTTAACGGCACGTCCGCTCTCAACCTCATCAAGGACTCCAAAGGAAAATATTTCTTAGACAGGGATGGAGTTCTGTTTCGCTACATACTCGATTATCTGCGGAATAACAAACTAGTTCTACCGGAGAACTTCCACGAGAAGGAACGTCTGAAACAGGAAGCGGAATACTTCCAGTTACCCGGCCTAGTCAAGTCACTGTGTTCACTGATAGCAACAACACCGAAAGCTGGATCGGTGTCGCAATCAAAAAACCCTCCCATATCTAATAGTAATTCCCTCACCTCTGTGACGCCCTCGTCACGACCAGGATGTATTACTGTGGGATATCGAGGCACGTTTGCTTTTGGACGTGACGGTTTGGCGGACGTCAAATTCAGGAAAATAAGCCGTATCATTGTCTGTGGTAAGGTGTCACTGTGTCGCGAGGTATTCAAGGACACACTAAACGAGAGTCGGGATCCGGACCGTGGTGTTTGCGACCGGTACACAGTGAGGTTTTTCCTGAAACACAACTTCTTAGAGCAAGCGTTTGACATGTTGTCCGAGGTGGGGTTCTCTATAAGTAGCTGCTGTGCCTCGGGTACAAACAACGCCGGTGAAATTAAAGCTGGAATGGACACAGAAGAAGCAAAATGGCAACATTACAATGAATTTATTTTCTGCCGGAAGTAGCAATACAGATGTCAATATTCATACAATATTTTAGTGTTTGTAGAACAGACATATGTAATTTTGACAACAGTTTATTGGACATTGATATATTTCGTTTAGGAGGAAGTGTTTTACGGTGGAATTGAAGTTATCGTGTACTTTTTGTGATGCTTAACCTCCAAGAGATGTTAATCGTGTGAAAACATTTGGAGAATTCAGAGTGACTGACATGGCAAAAAAACGGCGTGAAACGCGTGTGTTGGAATATCGAGAGTATTTCAGGTGTGTTGAACGCGGAGAAATTCTTTGTGAGTTCAGGTGGAGAAGTAACGCTATAGAATGGATGCATAGTCGATATCCGCAGGTAACACATTCCATACATTACCAAGCTTATAATACAGTGTTGTTGGTGTCACATCGCGTAAGCTCTGGTCGACAGGCATATCACAATATGCACTTTTTATCAGTCATGCAAGAGACCAAACGTTGTCTTTCATCTTTGTTTTCATCGTTTTCATTGTAAGTAGAAAACAGTCGAAGAGAAGTTTTCTCGTCCCCGTGTATTATAGACAAATGCTTTAAAACAATGCACCAGAGGAATGTCACAGTGAGTCTGTTTAGACATTTAACGGTCTCGTAGCTGTTTTTCAGTATATCATCGTCGCTTTCTGTATGAACAGTTATTTCATTGAAATTTAAAACTCTTATTCTATTTAGAATAAACAAACTGCTACCAACCATATTTTATATCGGTATACGTTTCCTATGTGGCTATAGACTAACAGAGAATATTGTGAGAACATAATATTGAATTTAGTACGCTACCATGTAACGGGGAATGATTTAAGATCCACAGGCCAGCCACAATATTAGTAGGCTAGTAGAAAAATGTTCAGCCATAATATAAGACGGCTAATATAATAGGTAAGGACTATGAACGTGCCAGCAATAATACCAGTATGTTATTAAGATAATATTTAGGACCAAGGGCCAGCCATAATGTTTGTAGGTTAACAGAAAAGAATGTTTTAGGACTACGAGACAGCCTAAAACTAAGCTAACAAATGTATTTTAGGAATACGGGCCAGCTAGAATATTAGAAGCATTACACAAATATTTAGGAATACGGGCCAGCTAGAATACTAGTAGGCTACCAAAAGCCAGCTAGAATACCAGTAGGCTAACAAAGGACAGCTAGAATACTAGCAGGCTACCAAAAGCCAGCTAGAATACCAGTAGGCTAACAAAGGACAGCTAGAATACTAGCAAGCTACCAAAAGCCAGCTAGAATACCAGTAGGCTAACAACGGCCAGCTAGAATACTAGCAGGATACCAAAAGCCAGCTAGAATGCCAGTAGGCTAACAAAGGACAGCTAGAATACTAGTAGGCTAACACAGGCCAGCTAGAATACCAGTAGGCTAACAACGGCCAGCTAGAATACTAATAGGCTAACAAAGGCCAGCTAGAATAATATAAGGCTAACAAAGGCCAGCTAGAATACCAGTAGGCTAACAAAGGCCAGCTAGAATACTAATAGGCTAACAAAGGCCGGTTAGAATACTAGTAGGCTAACAAAGGCCAGCTAGAATACCAGTAGGCTAACAAAGGCAAGCTAGAATTCCAGTAGGCTAACAAAGGCCGGCTAGAATAATAGTAGGCTAACAAGGGCCGGCTAGAATAATAGTAGGCTAACAAAGGCCGGCTAGAATAATAGTAGGCCAACAAAGGCCGGTAGAATAATAGTAGGCTGACAAAGGCCGGCTAGAATACCAGTAGGCTAACAAAGGCCAGCTAGAATACTAATAGGCTAACAAAGGCCAGCTAGAATAATATAAGGCTAACAAAGGCCAGCTAGAATACCAGTAGGCTAACAAAGGCCGGCTAGAATAATAGTAGGCCAACAAAGGCCGGTAGAATAATAGTAGGCTGACAAAGGCCGGCTAGAATACCAGTAGGCTAACAAAGGCCAGCTAGAATAATAGTAGGCTTATGCAGAATATTATAGGACCATGGTCCTACCATAATACTAGTAGGTAACAGAAAAATGCTTTGAGAATGCGAGCTACCAGTAATGCTATATGGCCAATGAGAATAGTTTGGGACTACATACGGGCAAGCCAAAATACAAATAGACAAACAGAGAATGCGTGTAATTTAGGATCACAGGACAGCCACAATATACACTAGCAGGCTAATGGGGAATGTTTTAGGGTCATGGGATCGACACTTTCTAGTAGGCTAATAGAGAATACTGTGAGATTACGGGCCAGCTATCATACTAATAGGCTAATCACAGCGAATATTTAGGACGACGGGCTAGCTATAATAATAAATGCGTACAGAGGAATATTGTAAGATTTAGAGCCAGCTAAGTACTAACAATCTAACATCGAACATTTAAGGCCGGTAGTATAAAGGCCAGGTACAATGCTGGTAGTATAGGCCAGCTATTGTGCTGGTGGTATATATCTGTAGAGCCCAGCTAGAATACCGGTAGGCTAAAAGAAAAGATCATTAGTGATACTAATAAGCTTATCACAGCGAATATTGGAGAAATAAAGGAAATATTAAAATGTTATAGTAGATCATTGTAGAACGAAGCTAATACTGGTAACGTTTAGTAACCTTATGTACACTGCCGGAATCTTATCCCTCTCATTATAAACCTGGTTCACCGTGTACGTGTCTGAGGGGTTGTCGATGATCAGCGCACTCCTCGAGATGCCAAGAACGGTTCATAGTGTTTATTTTCTACCATGATATCGTCGCTGTTTTTGTCTTGTCTTGAATGTTTTCTGATAAAAACATTTCTGTCCCCCTGACGGCGGATGGCGACCGGATCTAGATCTACATGTAATTGTCACGTATAGTACTCGCTGTCTAAGGTATTATCGTCGCTTCTATATCTCCGGTATCAGTGTACTGTTCAAAAGCATCGTTTTTGTGTCAATATTAAAATACTCCAAGTCTAAAGAACTCTGTCATTGTGGTCAAACTGGCCAGTCAAAAGACCCATTTTCTTTCAGCTGGTAGGCGGGAAATCGTGTACGAAATCCGGTCCTGCCTCCGGTCTGGCCGCTACCTACACCTCCATTGGACGTGGACCACATATCCCCGACATTGATGAACAATCTATATTTTAAGATATGAAAATATGCAAGCAGTTTAGACAGTCGTAGAATGTGTTTTCAAAATTAAAATCATCTTGAGCTGAATTTGATCTTATTTATCTTTTCGCTCCGCTACCTGCTGTGTGAAGTCCATACGTTTAAGACGTGGGCGCACGCGTACGTAACTGTAATTGGAAGTGTTTAAACATGGGCGCACGTAACAGTTATTGGAAGTGTTACATAGCATAAAAAACATAGCATGTGTTTAAACACATGGACCAACATTGCGTGTTCCATGCACCAGAGGTGATATGGGTTAGTATAACTAAAGGGGGGGGGGGGGGGGGGGGGGGGGGGAAGTGTTTGAACAAAGCGTCGCATCGCGTGCTCAGACAAGTCCACATAGCATGTGTTTAAACACGGACCAACATTGCGTGTTACGTGAAGCGTTTAACAACTGGTAACGTTATATCTTTTATAGTACGTGTCTAAACATAGACCCACACTACGTGTATTGAGATGTGTTTAAACATAGGATAACCATTTAAAACAGAACAGCATTGCCAACACGGACATTTCCTCACCGCAGTCATTTTTAAGATTTCCACACGCGAGAAGTGCAACTATTACAGTATTGCGAGTAAGTGTTATTGGAAGTGTTTAACATACATTATGTATTTCGATGCTGATCCAAAGGATCTGAGGATTGCCTATCTGAATTTCATCTATGATCAGGGTTCTTTAGAAACCGTCTAATTTAAAAACAAATACCATTAGGGACCATTTAGGGTTCAGCGGACAATCCAGTAGCTTCTTGCTCCATTTAAAAAACCTGTTTTATGATATTAATTTAAGTAATTACAAATCAATCATTAAACAAGTAAATAATCAATCAGCGATGAAAAATGACCGCCGATCAATAAATACTGTTCAGTAATCAATTACTTGTCAATAAATTCCATCTCTCACCAATGTTCGATAAATAATAGATTTCAACCTTTCAATAATCAATAACTACCCTTAATTCATCATAAACGATGAAGGTATTGAACATTTGTATTTGGTTGGGAAATAATCTGACGCTGATGACTTGTCGGTCACGTGATGAGTTAAAAAAAAAAAAGAACACGCGGAGTTTGATACCATCTTTAAAAAGTTCCTTCTCTAATCACCACAGGACACATATCATCAGAACCCATCAAATTAGTACGTAATGGGTTTGATTTGGGCCATTGGAAAATGTAGACGACATGCTTGAACAAACGTAATATCATAGAAGAAAGTGAAGGCACTAATAAACATATTTAAGTAAAATCTTAACGATGCTGACTGAAAGTATGATTTTGTTACCATGACAACCGTAATTGAAAAAAGAAAAGAATATTTTCATAATGGCATATAGAAAAGTTTTATGATCAAGAGTTATTTAAAAAAAAACCCATACAGACAATTTTTTTTTTCAAACCCCTAAGAGGCGCGAAGCGCCGCATGGGTTTGATCTCTTAACACTTAGTCCACTTCCGGTGCTTCCCAATGCATGTAAGCCTTCTGGGAAATTAAGGCCGCAAACCCATGCGATATCCGTATTTATCACATTTTACAAGTGAAATATCATGAATATTCTATTTGATAAAAACATAACTTCAACGCAGCGAAGGTACTCTATACGAAATGTCATTTTTTAACATATGTGAATCAATCGCCCTTAACATCGTGCAATCCAAACGGTATGTTCTATTTGCTGCATGACTTATCAGTTTCAAGTTTAGATGAAGCGACGGCAGAATAAACTATTGCGTGGTTCCACATTTGCAACATACATTATGGTATTTAAATAAGTTCACAATTTTGTTTGGAAATCTAACCATTTAAAAGTATCAAACGGCAGTACATGCAGTGCAAAACCCATTCAAAATGGCGCTCTGTATTGTTGTCAAGCGTGACGTCATTAGAACCTGGCATCAAAAAATGACGCTGCAAATTCCCGTGCTTTTCTGGTGTGTCAATGTTTTGCGTCGTGCGACGTGCTAAAATATAATAAATAAAAACATACATTTCATTTTTTTCCCCTTTTATACGATTTATATACTTGCATAAAACGAATATGTGATAATAACAACAAAAACTAGATCTAGCGTTGTAGCAAAATGTGTCTTCGTAGCAGCCTCGAGAGGTAAAACTTCTTTGACAAATATCCTCAACCATTCATTAACATTTTATCACGGAATTACATTATACAATTATGGACTGTTGTGCTGGTGCATATGATGTGATATGAACCTGAAAGAGTGATATTGACCTGGGCGAAGGTTCGTATCACATCATATTTACCAGCCCAAAAGACCATAACTGTTTTATTATATGCTTCAACAATAAAATAAAACAAAACAAAACTCAAGGTTCTGATTTTTGTACGCGAACCTCCGAAGCCAGGTTCGAATTCAACAGTTCAGCATCGTAGCTTTCGAAGACATCGTCTAGGTTCTTGTTATTAAGATAAGCATGGAGGACACGCACTGCGTGTTCAATAGCCTTTTTATGTAAACAGCATCTTTATCCTCGAATAGTTTTCATAATTTTCTGATGTAACGTAGGAGAAACGTTCGCCAGCAGCCACCTTCTAATGTCGTCTGACAGATCGCGTTCCGGTCTAACTGCGCATGCGCTACGACAGATTCCGGTGAATTTCCATATACAAATGTAGGCTATATTTAGAAATCGATATTCACCGGATAACCGGTCTACATGAGGTTTTGGGGACTGGTCACGTGTATGTAATCCGACCAATGGAATTGCGAGAAATTGTCATGCATATAAATTATATGCAAGACCACACACTTGTGTTTTTCTAACGAATCAGAAAGCACGAGTTTATTGCGCGGACGAATATTGTTGCGATTAGCCTTATATGCTTACTCACCACAGCTCTGGGCTATCCTCAAGCATACAGGCAGTCTGACAACTGTGAATGATGACGATCCTTTCCGGAAACGGCTCCGCTATGCAGATACATCTGTCCAGTCCAGGATCTTGGTCAACACTGTTCCTCACCCGGAACACCCCGGTTATCCTCGCCTGCCTACTAGTAGTGGGAACCAACTCCGGCCATTCCGGAACCATGTCGCAGCACCACACTCTTCCCCATCTTATAAAGGAAGACCCCTAGTTAACGTAAATTCCATCAAGAATATTCTGTCAAGTTTATAACTATCCAAATCACAGATACAGCGACCAGCCAAGCAGACGTGACACAAAAACGCCCAACAATTACAAAGCAAGTCCTATACACAGAAAGCAACATCAGCTAAAACACACCACTTGAATTGGTAGTCATTTGTGCAAGCAATGACCGGACTAAAATCATACGGAACACATCTACAATATGTATACTATTTACAAGGTGGCTGAGCAACATCACTCAATCTGGTAGAGCCCCCGCGCATTCCTGGTGGTGGCCTCCGCGACGGAACGTATCGATATGGCCCGATCCTCAGCAATAGCTTCAACCACACCCTCAACCTGGAAAGGGGAACCAACACCTCCTCTCTCTAATGGAAAGTATGGGGCATCAGACTCAATCAGGAGGTCTTCAAGAGAAAGCTGCTTCACCACGGATCTGAGTGACCGATCTCTAATGATTAGTGGAGAGATGCCAAACTTACAGTTTGGAAAGGCCTCGCTCCACATTCTGTGTTCGGCAAGGTCACCAGTGAAACAATGCCGATGGACACGATGGGTTTTCATGAGATGTTTGCCCAGAATCGGCAAGCACTCCTCAGAAGTCCTCATGCCCCCTCTACAGTGGATGACTATAGGAAGGCCCCTCCTGGCTGCGATTCTTACCTGGCTCTCAAAAATCATCTTTTGCCTCTGCAGCACCCTCCAAGATGTCCTTCCGGAGGTGTCCAGGCCACATTCTCCAACAGACACAGTTCCCTGAACATCCATCAGCCTTTCTAATTCCCACCCCCATTTCCTCAGAGTTTGATCACTCTCGAGTGCAGCGAGTCGGGGATGGATACCAAAACTAAACCTGATCCGGGTATCACTTCTAATATCCCGTCGGGCAGAGCCAGTCGGCCAATTCCGGGGATAGCAATAGTTGGCAATCACCAAGACCAATTGGGTCGCACTATCCGGCCCCTCCTCCCCAAGGCGAGGTTCCTGGCTGCGGCGGCACCACATGTCGAGATGGAAATGTGAGTCTACCAGCTCCACTGATTCCTTCGGGACCCCTCCCATCTTGAAGTTGACAAGTTCTTCTGATCCGGCCGTCATATGAATCGCAGTTGATAGGACCCTCCAGTGTAGTAGCCCCTGTATCCCTTCTCCAAGCTGGCCACCGCGATAGGCGTATTGGTTCCTGATCCGCACACTCGATTAAATGCCCAAAGGAGGCGCATGTCGCCATCCTGAAACAGGGACGTGGAGCAGTTTCCAAGGATCCCACCTTCCTTAGACCACTCTAGCAGTCCATCCAGGGAATCCCTACCAATATTCCTTCTTCCCAATTCCGCCAGTAGCGCCCTCATCATTGTCGCCCAAGTATCGCAGTTATAACCACAATTCTCTTCCGTTCCACCATGATAATTGTCCTCATGAATCTGGAGGAATTTCAACTGTCCAAATTGGATTTCACATTGCCAACATGCCGAGTCAGGGTAACAGAACCAGGGTAAATGTGTCCTTACCACATGACGCCGAGCATGGGTAAAACGACCTGAGCAGATGAAACACACTCTTCCCCTCTTAGAGCCATAAGTAGAACCGGGAATTCTGTCAACCGCCTCAATGTCCTCCTCATAGTCCGGGATGAACTCCTCCTCCTTCTGGTAATCCATGGTGCTAAAACAACACACAATATATATACAAAACCTTTACAATGTATACAAAGTATTTACATCAATCCTGCATACAACCTATCACTCCCCAAGTGACAGGTCATAATCCTGTAGATGTCCTGGAGTCCTCCTCCGGCGTCCAGTTCGCCAGCTCGGACAGTCCAGTGTCACTGATCCAGCAGCGTCAGCCTGATGTACGAATGTCTGGTCCAAGCCCTCTGCCTCCTGTTCCGAGACCTCCTGAAGACTAGTCACCACAGCCCAGTCACCCTGTCTGCCTCGGCCACGTATCAGAGAGTCCGACACCGCCACCGGAGCCTGACAGGAGAACAGACTTCGTAGTCCTCAATCTTCCTCAACCTGGAATTCCTCAGGATTGCTACTTGGTCTTGGCTGCTTGAAAGAGGTCATTCCTCATCCTCCTCAACCAAACTGGGAACTCCCTGTCCTTACATAGTTTGAGACGGTCATGATGAATCACGCCGCCTCCTTTCCGGTCCGTTATCTCATAAAGGACGGGGGATTTTACAGCCGTTACCAGATAAGGACCCTTCCAAAGTGCCTTCAGTTTTTTCGTAACCCCGACCTTCGTGGAGGAATCAACCTTCAGAACTACATCCCCAACCTGGTAAGCCCTTTGGTGAACCTTGAGGTCATAATCCCTCTTCTGTCTGTGTTGTGTACCACTGAGGTTTTGGCGGGCAATCTGATGTACCTCCTGCAGGACCTTCTCCAGACTAATCACGTACTCAGCAGGGTTCTCCACCCGGCTCTGCACACTAGAGGTACCAAGATAAATGTCTAGCGGCTGAGTAACTTCCCTACCAAGCATCATCCGGTTAGGAGTGAATCCAGTCTGTCGATGCTGGGTTACTCTTATGGCTCCTGCAAGTTGTTGTAGGTGTCGGTCCCAATTGCACTGCTTCCCCTGCACAAAGCACCGGATTGACTGTAAGATGTTACGATTATATCTCTCAATCTGACCATTGGAAGCTGGATGATAGGGAGTGGTTCTCGTCTTGGATATTTGGAGCAAGTTGCAAACTGCTCTAACCAAGGAACCATCCATATTCCTACCCTGGTCCGTGTGAATTTCTAATGGGCAGCCAAATCGAGAGATAAATTCATCCACTATTGCTCGCGCGACGCTTTCCGCATTCTGGTCTGGCAAGGGGTAACATTCCAACCATTTAGAAAACTGGTCAATCATCATAAGGATATACTTGTTCCCTCGTTTGGTAACAGGGAGTGGTCCAAGAATATCCATATGCACCCTCTCCATTGGAACTCCAGAATGGTACTGCCCAAGGGCCGCTTTGGGTTTAATGTTGGCCCTCTTATTCAATCCACAGATCTTGCATGAGGATACATACCTCTTGCATTCACCGGACATTCCATACCAAAGGACACTTTGTCGGACATGCTGAAGTGTCTTGGTTTCCCCGAGATGTCCTGAAGTAGGTAGGTCATGGGCCTTTTGTAGAGCTACATAACGGAGGGACTTAGGCAAGAGGAGAAGAAGTCTCGGGGTAATGGGGTCTGCCCAAAGGTAGAACCAGACTTTCCCCCTCTTGCGCCACTGGTCGCGACAATTCCACCAATGTCGGACTTCCTTATTCGCCAGACGGAGATCCTTCCCTGATGGGAGATGCTCATCCTCCAACCAGCTAATGATCTGGCATAGGTTAAGGTCCTCCAGTTGCTTGGCTCTCAGTTCCTCCTCCGTGAGATGATCAGCCCATGTAGGATACATTAATGCACAGTCTAGACCGGTGTCGTTAGATGTTAGTCGCCTCACAGTCAACGGAACTACATAGTCAATCTCCTCCTCGAAAACTCCCCACTGTTTACGGGCGCGTGTACAGTATGCACAACCCCCGCAGGGTATTGAAGACAAGGGGACTCCTCGCTGATAGTTATGACAGCTCCCTAAGGTATCCGGGAGTCGAGAAAGCATGTCTGCGTTGATATGGTCCTTACCTGCCCGGTGCTGAATGACCATATTGTAGGAGGAAAGTTCCTCCAATCACCTTGCAAGCTGACCCTGGATGTTACGGAAATTAAGCAACCACCTTAAACTGTTGTGGTCTGTCCTTACCACAAAGGTGTTGCCAAGGAGATAGTGTCTGAATTGTCGCGTGAAAGACATTATTGCAAGTAGCTCTTTCCGGGTGGTACAATATCTTCTTTGAGCGGGTGTTAAGGTCTTGCTAGCAAAACAGATAGTCTTTTCCCTCCCATCTTGAACCTGGTTCAGCTCAGCTCCAATTGCTCCATCAGAGGCATCCGTGTCCAGAATGAAAGGATCCTTTGGATTTGGGTATGCCAGTAACACAGCGTTAATAAGGGCTTCCTTCAGACCCTCAAAGGCCTGTCGATGTCTTTCCTCCCAGCAGAAATCGGATTTCCCGGTGAGTTCGTGCAAAGGGGCCGCTAACCTCGCGAAACCTGGGATATGCTCACGATGGTAATTCACATATCCAAGGAAGGACTCCACATCCCGCTTGTTCTCCGGAACCTTCCAATTGTGAATGGCCTCTATACTTTCTGGATTTACAGAGATCCCTTCTGAGTTAACAATCTTCCCAAGAAATGACTTCCGTCTGGAAGAGGTGACATTTTTTTGGCTTCAACTTCAGGTTGTATTGTTGGAACCTTGCTAATACTTCCCTTAGATTGCCCATATGGTCATCAAAGTCCTTTCCGAGAACCATGACATCATCTAAGTAGGCTAGGCAATCCTTCCAGGTCAGCCCACGAAGCACTATCTGGATGACCCTATTAAATGTTGCAGAGCTATTACACAAGCCGAAGGGCAACCGTACATGCTCAAACAAGCCGTGTTTGGTGATGAAGGACGTCTTGTGGCGATCTCGCTCATCCTTCTCGACTTGCCAATATCCGGCTGCCATATCCAGCGTACTCATAAAAGTACTTCCAGCAAGAGTATCTATACATGTCCCAACTGATGGTAGAGGGAATGCATCCTTGACGGTAGCTTGATTGAGACGACGGTAATCTATACAATATCTGAGGCTTCCATTTTTCTTCCTGACCAGAACCGGTGGGGCTGCCCATTCCGATATGGACACCTGAATCACACCCTTCTCCAACATCTTGTGGATGTGGTCCTCCTCCTCCTCAAACCCGACCGGAGTACGTCTCATTTTCTGTCGTATTGGTCTGGAGTCCCCGGTGTCGATGCGGTGTCTGATCCCTCCATTAAAAAGTCCCAAAATCTAGGTCATCTTTAGCGAACACCCCCTCAAAATAGATCAATAGTTCCGCAACCTGGATAGATTGATCCGCCGACAGCTTCTCGTTGGAACGCGAGAAAAGGTCATGCAAGTGGCCTGGTAGTTCATCAACCAACCCTTGTCCCCTATCATCTTGTCCGTTAGAGGAACCAACCACCGTCTGTCTGACCTTGAATTGCCTGTCATCTGCATCATTGGTTGTTACTCCCGACTCCATGCCAGTCCCGAAGGGTCGACCTGCCTTGAGAGAAATGAACTTGTCAGACAGATTACACACCACAACACTCATCTTGAGGCCTCCTTTTTGAAGTACCCGGGGGATAAATAGTCCCTCCATGTCCCGATAAGGTTGAATCAAAATGTCACCCTCCGGAGCTTCTTGCCCGGATGCTTGCACTGTGAAAAACTTAGCAGAGTTTGGTGGAATCACCGTCTTCCTCTCAACCATCAGTCGGTATACGTTCACGGACCCCCCTCCATTATCTAACTTACATTCTGCTTGGAATTGTCGACCATCCAACATAACAGAATAGTTAGAGAAATCTATGACTGCTCGATGGTGTTCAAGGAAATCTATACCAAGAATAAGGCTATCAGTAATATCTCCCACTAGGAGATTGGCCCTAAAGTTCAATCCGCCAATACTAATACAAATATTGGTTGCTAGTTGTGCCTCAAGACTAGACTGCTGGCCCACCCCCCTCAATCCAAACTTTCCAACAGTCTGCACCTTTGGAAGCAATTGTTGGAATACCTTCCGGCTAATGATGGAGACTTGGGCAGCGGTGTCGACCACAGCTGGAACTGTGTGACTTCCAACCTCCACCTGTAGCACCATGGTTCTGGGGCTACCCTCATCCACCGGTCTCCTATCCCCTACCTTTTCCTTCCCGTCCAGGCATACCTGTCTTACCGCTGATTTTTGTAAGTTGTTTGGTGATGGTGGCCTACCAGTGTCATCAGGGAGGGGCGCCGACCGGCCTACATCTGCGACCCTCTGAAGTTTAAATTCCTTCCAGACGCCGATGGCGACGGGGAACGAGACCTATCTCCGGACTCCCTAGAGGCTTTAAGGGGACAGTCTTTAACAAAATGACCCTTCTTGTCGCAATGGAAGCATCTGGGTTGTCTTTTCAAGGGTGAACCCCTTGGGGAGCCACCATTCCCACTGCTCCGGGAC